CTAATCACCTTCCCTTCAGCAGTTTCAGCAGATATAGTGAGATTATTTACTTCCGACTTGATTTTGAGACTTCTCAGTTGTCGAGATGGCATGACACCTCGTTGAGTCCTTGCTAATATAGCCCTTGATGGAAAGAGATTGGCGGCTGGAAGGCGACCGCTCGCGCACGCTACGCAGCCTGGGCCTCTCTCGCGAACGTACTCTCTAATCATCATCTAGTCTAAATTAGGTCTTGAAGCCCCACCTTCCGGCCGCCAATCCAGTTGAATCAAAGGGTAGCGTGTCAGCCAGGCTAATTAAAAGCGATTTATCAAGTGGATTTATTGGCATCTGATATTAGCGCTTTTGGGAGTGAAGATAGAAACTGGTCAATGGTTGGAATAAAATGTTCTACTTCAATTTGATGACGGAGCTTCAGACTGCATGCCGGCTCGTACAGCATGATACATAGGGCGTCCGAGCATACGGCGATAACTCTTCTGTCTCAATGTCTCCTTACAGACCGTGAAGTCTATGTTGAATAGCAGCTGCATTTACCATAGATTTATGAACAAGAAAAACTATTGATTTTCTTTCATTATGGGAAGAATGATTTGGCTTAACTTATCATGATGTGTATGAGATTACTCAAAGCATCATAGTATTACCTTCTTTAGCATTAGTGCTATTTGTGACTGCTCTAATAAAACGACGAAGATTTTCGTGAAATTAAAAGAAAAAACAAATTTTCCTCATTCGCTTTACACTATCGTATAATTTATAAGAGTCGTGAGGAGAGGAATCATAGGACCTTCTTAGATGTACAACTACCCAACTTCCGCTTGAGAATGCAGCATAGAGTTGCCAATCTAGTTCCTAGACAAAGAAGCTCAACCTGCGAAGTGCTACACGCGTGCACTATATACAGAAATGGATTTCTGAAGCACAACCCATAGCAAAGAATGTCCCAATAAATTTTGTGCTGGATCATCAATGCTTGCTTCAATCCTTTGTCGATCCTTAGCTAACATTCCGTGGAGCTAGCTTGAACTCAGATTTGCAATTTTGAAGCAAATCGCCGTCCTCGATAATGTAGGACTACGGTAGGAACTTTCAGAACACGAAAACGTTTTGGAACAGGCTGTCTAAAAGAATGTTCAAAAAATATTCGGAGAATTGTAGCAGGGTTTCCACGCATGCTGATCTCACTACACAACTTTTTGAATTTTTGAGCTTCTCTGAGATTGTCATCACACTTATGACGTACACAAAAACATTTATTACAATTTACTGGTAATAATTTTGGAAAGCATTACCACAGGGAAGTGCAAACTTCGTGTTTGAAATCAACGACTTGATTGAGCTAGCAAAAAAGTTTTTGGCTTGTTTGGTTTTCGTGCCGGGTCAAAAATGGCATACAGTAGCCCGAAATCCTTTTTCGTCCTGTCGTAATCCTACAGTAATAAATAGCGTTCGGTGATTGGCTCCATACTGCTAGTCTAAGTATAAACCGCTACAAAATGGTACCTAGATTTTGGCGGAAGACATTAAAAGCAAGAGAGATATTAAAGATCAAACTCTGTGCACCTTTTCTTGAGACGTATAGTGAAAAATCTTATTTATGAGATTAGCTCCAATTGTTTTCATGCTAGGACCAAATGCTTGCGCATGCGTGAAAGATAAGACTAAAAAACAAACCAAATAAGGAAAACAAACTAAAAACCTTTTTCTCATCAAACGAAACAATAAATTTTGAAGTTTGAAAAAATGGTAAAGACACTGTTTTCATAACTACAGATGCACTTGAAATTGGCGCCAGAAGTCAGAAGTCAGAAGCTGTCAAAACTGTCAGTCCGTAACAGCTTTCTGCAAAAGACCTATACTACTTTGCTGGAGTCGCCGCACGTTACCAAAATCCAAGTATGCGAGAGTTGCGGCAATCAACGCTTTTCAATTGTAGAGGAAGAAGCTACAGTCGTTATTGATTGAAAAAGAAAATGTACAAAGAATTCACAAATCCAACTACAATAGCATAGAACTCCATATATGTGCCTAAAAATTCCAGCATAGTTGTTGCTTTTGTCCTCTTTTATCATGATAGATACAATAATAATGGCTTAAAGAACTACGCAGACAACTGACCGAAATTTCCGCAGAACGAAAAGTTCGCAGTTGGGAAAGTTCCGCCGGGTCACCTGTGGAAGTTCCGAAGAATAACCATAACAGCAAAGGAGAACACCTAAGCGAGATTTGAAGCTCACTCTGTTGTGCGAGACTCACTAAATTTTTTCTGCATTAAGTATATGTTCGACAATGCACTCTAGTTGCTGGCGAGAGAACATCGTAAGAGATAACACATTTGAAAGCCTGAGGGAGTACTGGCAGGCCAAAGTGCTGCGCAACCATTTTTCGGAATTTGCGCAGCTTTCTAAAAAATCCGCGGAAGTTCCACTTTTCAACCAATCTAATGTGAAAATCCTGCGAAAATCTCATTTTGAAGGTTTTCACTTTTGTAATAGTAGACAAAGTCCTGCGAAACATTTGCAAATTTGGCTTATCCTGCGGAAGTTCGTGAATTGTCTGAGCGGAATTCAAAATATGTCAATGCTAATAACAAAAAATAGATCGATTCTGGTAGAAAAGATCAGTTCAAAAAATATGAAAAGTTGCAAGCCTGCACTTCAAACTCCTTCACAGACTAATTTCCTCCAATGGAGCACAAAATATTCAAAAACGTGGTCAAACGAAGCTTGGATTGTGTACACTTCTTCTCATTATGCAGTTTTATCTCTTCCGAACGATCTGAATAATTTGAGAACTATCTCTTTTAAGGGGAGAAAGGGTAGCTTCTTGCCATCACCGTACAATCATAATAAAATGGTAAAAAGGTTCACTTCTTTGGGTCATGCTAGTGTAATAACTACTAATTTTGTTATTCGCTGACAGAAAATGTTACCTAATACATACATAGTGTTGTTACTTCTCAGAAGTTGCGCCTATATGACAGAAGATCTAATCAACCCTTAAAAAACATTAAGCGTCCTGTCAGTTACGCAATTGTAAAAAATTTGTAGCTTTAGCAGTAAAGCCTTGTTTAATTTCGTCTCTCGATGTGGTCAACGCATACTCGCACACAAATTCTAAATGTGTTAGCCATTTTCCATACAATTACAGTAAAATCCTCATCAATAACACCTCGGTAAGTAAAATGAACGAAAACCGCAGAAACGCTGAAAAAATTGATCCTGCAGGAATTCGTACTTATTGTCAACGTTAGATGGATCGTAATCTGGGTAGAGTGCGCATTCACACGCATTCAGATATAAAATCAAAGGTGGTCAAAGGTAACTGTTGGAATTTCCTTTTACTACTGATACTAAATTAGTAAAAATACTAAACTAATAACATCAAGGTGTGTACCTACCCACCTAATCCAAAGCAACTAATATTGAAGTCAAAAAGACCTAAAAGGATATGATGAATCGCGTCTGCTTCTCAGGACTATGGCCATCGATCTTTCAAATGAACTGATCGGCTATTTGTGTGCAAGGCCAAAATTCTTGCCATTCGACTGCGTAGCGCAAGGAGGAGCTTCTGTCACCGTTACGGTAATTGTGCTATTGGTCCCCTAAGTCTTGTCCCGCCTTCAACTCCTTATGAAAGTAAACCCCGCCCTCGATTCAGTCTAGTGAGCTGAGTTGGCTCCGAGCGGCTGAACAGGCCCTAGTAGCAAAAGCTTAGCTGTTTTCGACGTCCTACAACTTCTTCTATTTTCGCCTCAAAAGCTTTTTGATTCTCTTTAAACTTATGTGCGGTGATTCATGTGAAACGTTTCCTTATAAAGCAAGACCGGGGTGCTGTCTTAGGGTTCTATCTCACTCAGAGGCGTACCGTGACCCATTGTCGGGAGGGGAGGGGGGGGGGGAGGGGCAGTCCTTCTCCCGACAATGGGTCGCGAAATTTTTGAAAGTAACTTACATGGGTTATGCAAGTGTGCAAGTCACTTATTTACATTTGTAAATAATTAAAGTATTTTTTTAAATTCAACTTCAAAATTCAACTTAGTCTTGTGAAAAAAAATTTTTCTGGGGCGTGCTGGCGGCACTCTCCCTTTTTCTGAAATTTCGCGGTTATGGGATCGCCAAAATTTTGGGAGCATACCACAAAGATTTTCGTGCGTGCTGCTGCTCCCCCGCCTCCCCCCCCCCCACCAAACGAAAACCCTGGGTACGCCACTGGTCTCACTATATATATCCGTTTCTTCTCTAATAACTTGTGAAGCATTTGAACTGCCAAAGTGTCTATGGGGTTACCATAAAATCCAGATATTGATCAAACACTAATAGATAATCATGTATTAGTTTTGTGTTTGCCAAAAAACTGATTCAGGATTTACAAGATTTTCGACGCTTAGGGACATTGTTTGATTTCGCTCAGCAAGCGCTATGTTTCTAATTTCCTCTAAGCCCTGAGCCAAAGCGCGTAATGAAAACTGCGCTCTTATTTAGAAAATTGCAAATACCCACCAATTTATAATCTACCACTCCTGCGAAACTGCAAGTCTCCTTTTTTAGCTCAAGCAGTCTTGTAATTTTTAAAAGCTTTCTATGCTGTTCAGCCCATAAGCAACGATAACGAACTGTTTGAAATGTAACCTTTGATTCAACTGGCTTGGCATCATTAGGGCGGGGTTTTGTGATCTAACTGAGGCCCCTCGCGCCTGCGACGCACCTGCGTCTCTCTCGCGCTATGCTCTCTGATCATTATCTAGCCTTAATTAGGTCACGAAGCCCCTCCTCTGCCGATGACAAGCTAGTTGAATCAAATGGTACACTGGCAATCAGTAGTCTTCTCTAGAAATTCAAACAATTCCACAAACAGCATTTTTACTAGTTTGTGTCGTTTATTCAAAGCATTAAACCTTTTCTTTAGCACGCTGGTGAAAGCATACAGTAAGCAAAATTGTGTGCTTTGCAAGGCAAAACTTTGAGCTACTGACCAGGCAAAGGTTTTTTTTTGCAGGAAATCAAACGTTGTGATCATGTGCTTCGTGACTTTTCTCAGTACTCTGATGTTGCCCTTGATTGGAATGCAGGTAAATAAAGTTGCCGAGAATTTTATTCGATGAAACTTTGAGCGGTTAGAAAATCATCAGTGCAGATAATAGTAACAAAAAAAGTGCTGTCATGCTTGATTTGCAGGTCCAACAAGCGTCTGGTTGTACCTTTACTCCACACCAGGGAGATTTTGTTGCAAGCGTCAAGTATGAAATGCTGAAAAAGAGTGAACCGGAATGCCTTCAAGTGTGCTACGAAGAGCCTGACTGCACCTTTGCCCATTTCGTCCAGCTCATCACGGTTTTCCCCATCTTTCTTTCTAAACAATCGAATTTTCGAACTTGTTGCATAGAGGGAATTTATCAATTTTAGGGTGTGTGCACTATTTACAAGAATGGTTCTGAAACTCAAAACGTAACCGGAGTGGTGTACAGCATTGATCGCCAACTTGTGATTCCAAACTGTCAGCAGCCTCTTCCGGTTGCATCAAAAGTCGAAAATCCTCAAAATATCTCCGAACTAGTGATAAATCAGAACGAAGCTGAACTTGATGGAGTGTTTGACCAAAACGTGACTACTATCTATAAATTCTGTTATGCTAGAAGGGACTTCTTCTCAGAAAACGCTTCGCTGTTTGCGGATGAAACGGAACCACGTTACAAGTAATTTTTATTTCATCTTAATAATCTCACCATTAAATCTACGTTTTTGATGATTTCTAATACCATCACTGCGTTTCATCCATCAGCAAGAAGTAGTTAGAGATAAATGCTAGATTAACATCATGTAATTCTAGAAAAAAATGACCATTACAAAGCAATGAAAACCATGTTAAACCGCAAAAACTGAGCTATTTCAGGTTCCTCTTCGCTAGAGAACCTCAGCCAGGCTGTTCATCACTTCCTGTATTCACAACTGCAAGTGAGATATTGACTTCTACAAGTAGCGTACAGACTTCTTGGAATTTGAGATAGTAGAAGCTAGATGGCTTAACGTCCAGATTTACAATAGACTAAAATTTGAAAAAAAAACTGCAGACGCTAGGTGAGTCCAGGCGCAAGTTGCAAAATGCCCTAAACTGCATATTTCAATCTTTTCGTTGTACTAAAATCGGAGTTCCTTTTCTGACTACTCCGTAGTATGTGTTGGCCGTACATTGAGCAATTCACTGCTTTTCAAAACACAAGTAATCAGACAATACGCTAGGGTAGGCGGAGACTGGGAAAATGAAGGATGTTTTGCATACTTCTCGCAGAATTTCGAAAATTGACCCGAGCTTCAGCAAGACCGCTTATTTATTTTCCATTTCGACCGAAAAACAGCGATCTGCCTGCAAAGATGAGAGTAAGGAAAGGATCAACATGCGGCACTGGAAAAGTTTTCAATTCTATAAAAATTTTCAAGTATAGTGCGTAAATTTATCAACGCGCATTTCCCGGGACCGCCTTCTCCTGGCGATTGTCTGAGCAGATGTCTTTTCACAACGCAATTTCAATTTTCTTATGACAAAAAAGGATGCCGGAAAAGTAGAAAGAAACCTTCACAAGACAGCGAATCAGTTCGAATATTTTGTCTTGTATCAGGGAGGCGAACACTATAAAAATGGGTGTGCGATTTATCTTGAGGTTTTCGGCAAATGCATAAGTGGTTGCGAAATTTATTCACAGTTGAGACTTAGCCCAATGCAATACATAACCGCACAAAACAAGTGCTTTTTCAGGCGGCAAACTCTACATTGGAAAGGTCTACAATGTGACTGGCTACACCTTCATGCATGCCTATGCATTCGCAGACGTTTGCACACGCCGTACCTGTGCAGGAACGTGTTGTGGAACGATGCCTGTAGTTCCAACAGAGGACGGCAATTTACATGTAACATCCGCTGGAGTGCATATCTTCTACATGGTAGACGTCATCAACTTCTCCACAGGCCGCTCGTACGACAGCTACAGAGTACCCTGCTGAGCTCTTATCAGTATACTGATAGTCTGAGCAAGCTGAGGTTCAATTAGTAGCAGCCCGTACTTTTCATATCCTCTAGAAGTACGATCTACTGTTTGTGCAAAGCTTGGGTTTAGCATGGATTTAGGCGCTTTGATGCTTAATTTAGCGTTAGTCCTTCATCCACTGATGAATAAATCGTTGTGACCATGCAAATCATATCTACGTCAAGCTGAAAAAGTTTTTCTTTAACTAAAACAAGCTTTATGAAATTATTGGAATTTACCAGACATAACCAGAACATGCTTAAGGTTGATATCTTTCACAAAGAGACATTTACATCCTTTTACAGCCTAATGCTTTCATGGTGTTGATATTGTCATGCCCACATTTGACCTCGAGAAATGAAATGCATTCGAAAGTCAACGGATTTTGCCGTCAGAATTACTTACTTATATGTCTTGGACTGCGAGTTTTCAAAAAATGCACCTCACACTCAGTAAATCAAAAATTTCGAAGAAAAATACACAATTGATCTGAAGTAGAAGGAATCTACAGGTCGACATTGTTCAGGAAGAGCTGCCCATCTGTCTTTCCCTTATTGCCATGGATTTGAGAATTACCGTCAATACAAAGCTTGTCACACTCTGCAAATCACATTTTATCTCCTAATGGAAGTGAAATTTATGTCTATGCAAAGTTTAGGTGTTGCTAGTACAGTAAATTTTCTGAGGCATGCAAAGAGCGATCTACATCTGTAGTGGAGTTTCCCATAGCTCTCATTTTTCTGACAGGGAAAATTTCAGAAGTTGAAGTAGGAAAGGTCGAGAGACGTCGCAGTCTGCCAAGACGGTTCGTTTTTGAGTTAACAAAGCGGACTTAACAGAATATGGAGAATGTTTTTGATTCTGTAGCTGCTAACGTAATTACTCCACAAAAAAATAAAGAACAGAAGCTTGAACTCTCAAAAGAAAAAATGGGGCTTGTTCAACTAGAAGTTTCAACCACGCGATATTGGAGACTTGGGTTTTGTCCCATCTATTCTCGTCGACTCGTACTAAATTTTGAAGAGCCATAATTAGTAGTCTATACCTTGCCGATTCACATCAGGGCCGGTAGTAATCCCCCCGACCTGGCGGCAGGTCTCGTCGGCAGGTTGCTGGCACCTTTCCGCGAGGTGGCCAGAAACTAAGAACCGAAATTTAGGCCGTCCCAGGCCTTTTTTCAAAAAATTTTCTCGATAAAGTTGCCGCCTCGACTCTGTAGAAAACTTCATAAAAATCTGCGGCTCCAGAACTCCTCCTTTAGTAAAATATCTGGAATTCCAGGAGGAGCTGCCGGCAACTTCGCGATGTCAGTTGCCGGCAACCTGCCGGCAGGTTGCCGGAATCCGCGAGATGGCAGCTGCCGGCAGGTCAGAGAGCACGGGAAATGGCGTGCTCTTTTGAGAGAGCGAGCTGCCGGCATCTCGACGTGCCAAGGTTACATAGGATTATTGAAACCTACAATCACTCCGCGAGCTGCCGGCGGAGTTGGCATCTTTCCGCGATGTGTGCCAACTTGCCATCTATGATGCCACCAGGTAGGGTAGATTACTATCGGCCCAGAAGAGGATCAGTATCATCAATTGTTATTTGCCTTCAGAAGCAGCAGACAAAGGCAAGCTTGACAAGTTCTACAAGGAGATCGAAGGCGCCATCTACGAATAGAAGTTTTATACAAGTCAAGTTGGCGACTATAATGCAAGTTTGGGAAAAACACAAACCCAAGAGGGCGACAGAATCAAGAAATCTGGACTGAGGATCGAGATGAGAATGGAGACAAATTCATCTTACTTATAACAGTGGCGTCTCTATTCATGGAAACTCTTTTACCGGAGTCATGAATACCGCCTTTGGATGTGGAAGTCACGAAAGGGCACGGCATGGCCAAACATAGATGCGATAGGTGGAGAAATTTCTCTGACCCCCTTCACTTTAGGGCCGGCATTTGGTTGACCCCTTTCACCTGAGGTTGAGATAGAATCAAGGCATAACGGCATAATCAAACAGCTGTTACAACGGCACTTCAGTTCGGAAAGGAAACGCCAGCTGCACATCTCCTCGGACATCACGACTGCAAAAGAGTATCGAAACAACAGTGTTTTGTTGAAACAACCCATGCTTGAGACCTTCAGCGCACTCAGAGTGGCGTTGATAACAAAACATAATCAAAAATTAAAGGATGCTTGATTCTTTGAATAATTAACCTTATATCAATGATTACACACTATCACAGAAAAAGTTGAGCAAGAGTAGAAAATCTGGACTAGCCAGTGACGGATGCATGTTTACTGAAAAAAATCGTATACTATATCTTCCTTCACTAGAGAGAATAACAGTGAAAGAGCATTCAGATTACTCGTTTCTCAAGCTTTCGAATCATATATAAACTTCGAAAAAAAACTTTCTTGTCTGAAAAAATGCTTACCCAGAATTGGCTGAGATTGTAGCTGGGTAAAATTGCTCGTATCTCGCTTCACAAAAAAGCTAGAAAAAAAGAGACGGTCTAAGTCGATTCCTCGTGTTCTTAGCTATCGAATGGCATACAAAGTTTTGGTGCATAAAGCTTTCCCATTCCAAAAAAGTCTTGCTCCGGCTACCCATAGAAAGCCGGAGCAGGGTGGTGCAAGTTAGTATTGAATATCTCCACCTCAATTTTGAAAAACCACGAGTTTTTTCACCCAACAACTTATATACCATTAGAAAGCTCACGAAACAAGAATTCGACATAGACCGTCTCTTTTTTTCTAGCTCCCCTCTACTCAGAGATACATGGCATTTTAGCTGAAAACATGTGTGTTTTTGTCAAGAAATTCCTGCGTGAAGAACGAATGGAGGTGCCTGATTTTCTAGCAGTAGCACAGAGCAAGACCTTGCCAGCAAACGTTGACCGTCTCTTTTTTTCTAGCTCTCCTCTTTCTCTCAGAAATGGAGCGCAAAGTGATTGCCTAAAATCAGTTGATGCTGAAGCTAGATATGATTTCTAATATGTGTTTTCGCAGGAGAGCTGGAAAAAAAAGAGACGGTCTACGTCGATTCTATATGTCTCAAGCTTTCGAATGTTATGTCGACTGATGAAACATAAAACTTTCCCGAGTCAAAAAAGTTTCTGTTAGATGACCTTCGAAGGCCTAAGCATTGAGAAAATCTTCCATTTTACACCTCTATACCGCTTATTTTCCTTCTTTTCACTCCCGCTATCGTTAAGTATGCAAGCTTGCGTCAGCATTCATCTTAAGACTCAGTTACCCCCTTCACTTTTCTAGGTCGGAAATAGCCAAAACCCCCTTCACCTGGAGAGGACCCTGCTCCCCCTTTCGCACCTATGTGGCCAAACATCGATCATATACTTGTCAACAAGAAGTATAAATAGGAAGGATAGAGTTAACAAATTAAGTGATGCTACTATTACATGTTCGGGGTTTTTTTGGGGATGAATTCTTCACTCAGTTGCTAGGACGCATATATGGGATGTGAGTGGATAATAGTGCATAATAGTAGTTCTGAAATTCAGCACAAAGATTTGTCCAGTGAAGAGTTTAATGACTAATAAGCGATGCAGTTTAAGATTGGAATCCAGAAAAATTATAACGCCTAGTAAGGAATTACGTGAATCTTTATGTAAGGTTTGCGCATGAGCTACCATAAATGATGTCATCGCTACCTATAAGAAGCCGCAAGATTTTCCCAAATGATACAAACCCAATTTTCAGTAAGTCAGCCCTTTCTAAACTTACATATTCTTGTGTTGTTCTTACTATTCTTACCACGTATATGCACTGATTTCCTCCGTTTATAGAGAGTAGCACGAAGAAGTGAAGGGACTATGTTCCGCAGACGAATTTGCGCTTAGAAGCTTGCTCAAACAGAACGCATCTGAATAGCCATTAGGGGAGCCTAAAGTTTTTGATACGGTTTCTGATTTTTATCGATGCCAA